CAAGTCTAATAACGCTCCTGCAGTATTGTACCCTTTTCTGAACCCGCATTGCTTAGCTGGTAATATTTCAGAATATACAATGTAATCAAATATATGTACATACATCACTTTTTCTAATAATTTTGATAATATGGGTAGAATGCTTATTAGTCTTTTACGAGAACCTTACATTGCGTTCAATCCGAGTTGAGGAGAAAAGCAATCAATTTAAGTGGACCGATATTTTTGAGTTTATGGTAACCAAAAATAATCCCTTCAAACTATTTTTCAAAGTAGATCAAACAGATAAAAATTACAGGGCAATGTCCTTAAAGGGGCAACCTGCACTTTTCCAAAACGCAACTACAACAGTAATGTTTGACTTACGTTTGAAATAGTACAGCAAATTTCTTTAAAATGCTCTACTGAAAAATTGTTAAAAACTAGATACATATTTTCAACAGCAATATAACCGCCTATAACTTGAGAAGTAGCACTCGGGTTTCGATGAAATTTTCACAGAGTGTTAGTACTATGCCAAGGACGCAAAAGCTTTGCAGTTTTTGAAATTCGGCCCAGTGTTGGCGGAGCGACCTTGTAAGGCTGTAGGAGGGTATATATCAGCTGAGCACTGTCTGCGAGTCAGGGTCTTATTGCCTCTGACTGCATTGCTTGTTCTCTCGAGTTACTATACTTATGTGTGTGTATATACTTAGATCAGGGAAGAAAGTAGCGCTGGCGTTATCAAATGGCTGGCGACTATGGAGCATGGACTAATTGTATGGGCCTGTTTGGCTGACTTATCCATTTACTTTCTTTGGTATACTACTACATGCTGGTAATTAGATCAGAGAGACTAACTTGTGCCGACCATATTCGTTTATAAACTGATGACATCGTCGCGTGGGAAGTGCAGATTCAACCTACTTGACACTATTTTTTAAACGTACTACTCCCCATAAAATTGTAGTCATTTCTACCACCCCGTAAGTAACCGGAACAACGAATTTAAGAACAAGTGAAATTATTTGGTGCCAATGAAGACTAACCATTATAATTCTTTACAGACATAAGTATCCAGACCTTGAACCATTCAAGCGTCGATCTCGAGAATACCATAACGATACACATAATGAGAACATTTGCTGGAAGTATTTCATAAACAAATGAACTTACATATTGTGTGATTATGTATTTTTATCAGCGTATGCGGATGATCCATACATATTCATGGAATATTAAGATAATAAATCAAAACAACGACCCCAACCGTTCAGAGAAATCAATAAAATTTATTCATGATACGCTATCGAGAATTTATAGGTGACGAAAGGATTTAAATTATTTGTGGGAACGTCTGTTGAATCTATTTCGACTGAAATGCCTGTATATGCGGAATACTTAGTATTCCTATATTGTTCATTTTACTTTCCTCCTCTACATATTTGTACTGGCTTTCGTGATTATAAAATCCAATAAACTTAAACGAACCTCTCAAAACGTTGTCATAGTGATGACTCGAGCAGAGTTTATGCAACAAAATGCATCGACCTCTACGAATAGGATGAAGATATCTTGTTGATTCCATGTTTGCATTGCCTAATTTTAGTAGGACATAGATCCACAATCTTCGCACCATATACTGGATGTTACACTTAATCACAGGTCGTAATTACAAGGGTGCATTCCTGAACCAAATTTCAGTAGGAAAGTTGATACAAGCATGAGTCCTAAAAGTCTGGTTTTCAAACTTTAAACAAAACATTGCTTTTTGTTAATATCTCAGAGGTCCTTGTGCCGACTTTGTTGAGTTTATTTGTTGTCGTTTATTACAATAAAACACTACGCTAGAGCAAACCAGAAGGTTGTGTATTCCAGTGGCGTCTCGGGGGCAGTCTCAATCATAATATTAACAAAAAATGTACGGCAATGACTTTTTGAAAACATATATTTTAAGCAGCTAATGATCTCAGGTTCAGAACAAGTTAGACCCTCTGAGAAAAAATAAATAATTGTGTGTCAGTCAAACAGGCCCATACAAGTAGTCCATAGACATTATTTTCCTGTGGTACCGGTAGTTACCGTCCATCTGGCAAAATTACCTTTTCACATATCGGCAGACGCAGCAGCGCCCACCGAAACACAACCATAGCGGTGTAGCCAAGTATAACGATTTTTCGGTTTTATCGGTTTTAATCCTATTCTACCAAACTATAGATTTTAATTCGAAAAATACCGAAAAATTTCTCAAATTCTTAAACAGTATGTTCAACGATTTCATTTGGTGCAATTCTGCGCCCTTCGATTTTTTAAACAGCTGAATTTTAGAATTTGATGCTACCCTCGTCCCTTCCGCTCTTCAATTTTAGAACCGAGTGGAGCACAAGCAAGGTGCTTTCACTTTAATGTCTACCAAAAAATTTCACACAAATCTACCGAAACCAGATCGACTGTACCTGGCAACACTGCACCACAGCACGAGCAGACAATCAAGCAGACCGTTACGCCGGGCGCTGAGCACATATACAGAAGTTTTGAAGACAAATGCATGAGGATTATGTATGAAACATAGCTAATTTTTGTCAAAAATGTTAAGAATCCTCCAAAACGTCAAAAAATGGCGTTTGCTCGATTTTTATTTTTCCGTTTTTGGCCTTTTTTACACTATCATCGGACCGAGTTTCAAAAACTATAAAGCTTCTTCGTCCTTAGCGTAGTAGAAAGCTTGTGTAAAGATGTCATTCAAATCGGAAAAGTTGTTAGTCGGGAAGGACTTTATGCTGTTATGAACCTATTTTTGACCTTTCATGTCAGTTTGTTATTTTTGTTCCTCTCTCAAGTGTTTTTTTAGCTTTGATATCCTGAAAACCAGACTTTTCAGGACACATGCTCATATGAACTTTTCTACTTAAATCTGGTTCTGAAATGCGCGCTTGTAATTACGGCTTATCATTAAGTAACACCCTGTGTAGGAGCAAATGAGCTGCCGTACTGACCAATTCTCGATATACAATGTTCGACAGAGTAGTATTTATAGAAAGTCGTTGTTAGAAGCATGGCCAATCCCTGATCGTACAAAACAATGGCCAGTAGTTTTATTCAAATGACAATCATCATATAATGAGCGTGTAAATACAGCAGAAAATTATAATAACACCGTACTGTATGCAAAGACTAAAAGGGGCCAGCACTCAGTACACTCAATACAAATTACAATACATCCATGTCGCATGACTCTATGCTATCCTGGGGGCAAGTACGGATGTGCGTTACATTTTCACATGCAAATAGCCTGTCAGCTTGCACAAAGGGACGAAATGATAATTATTGCTTTTCCTTTTGCTCTTTTCCGGGCTGCAAAGGAGGATGGCGATACAGGTGGTAAGTCAGGTGGGACTTTCAATCCAGGCAGACTGTGCAGGATGTGTGATTATCAGTACTCTATGCACGAACTGTTATTTTACCTTGGTATTTTTCAAGTCCTGTACCCATGATGTTTGTAACAAAAACAAAGCAAAATGAGTGAAAATGCATTTAGAAAACGTTCCACGCAATTCTGTCATTATTTATAACAACTGGAAGCACATTCACCATACACAAATACTTGTCTGTTTCTGTACATTACGCTGCTTATACCTCTACCTTCTACACTAAGATCGTGAGAGAGTCAATGGTAATTTACTATGAATCTTCAAACTTCATTGTTTCCTCCTTTTCTTGAATTCAATGGCACTCGTATCAGCACAAAAAGCTGAGGCTAATCTTTTTGAGGATGACACATCTATTGCCAAGTATACTAATATTTCGATAGGTACGTATCATGCATACATGTATGCTGAATATTGCTAAACCGAACGAACGGTAATATCATTTTACTTATATTACCATGTCTCTGAAACGCCAAAAAACGTTTGAGCGATTTTTATTTTATTTGTTTTTTGCCAGAACTCTACCGCCAATGGATTGATTATCAAAACTTACAAGACTCTTTTATCATTAGTATAGTGATAACCTAGTTTCATAAATTCATCAACAGCGTTTTCGTGATGTCTGTAATATCAAAAAAACATAATATATCATTTTCGAAACATTTCACGATTACAATACTTCCTCTCCGATTTACCAGCAAAGTGAGAAAAGCGAGTCCAAATATTATAGGAGCAAATTGGAAGATTTTATGTAAATTTTGCAAATGCATGTGTCAATTGCACCAAGTTTGGCAGATAAAACGAAAAGGTGCAAAAACCATTCATCCTTACGTCTATAACATAGTTGTAGTCACCGTTCTTGGCGGGTCAAAGTAGGCTACCTGTATCGCTTTATATATCTCCATCTCCCTCATACATACACATGCAACCTGTGTGTGAACGTTTGTTCGGTAAGCTCAAAGACATACGTTTTTTAGTTGTGTCTCCGTCTGGAAAACTTTGATGTTACGCATGAGTGCACTTCAATCATATTTGCCAGAGTGACAACTTACTTAACATCGGCGTGTAAAGCTAGCAAATAGATGTGTTATTTTGTATTATATTGCTAATTCCGTTTGTATTTTTATTTTAACTTTAAAAAACATCAAGTGGCGTGTCATACTCTACCCATGTTTATGTACTAGATTAGAAGATTTTTGAGAATTACGATTAGTAAATAATTTTGAATCGGTTTCCCTCAGTTAGGAAAGTTAAGATCCGCCCATGATACGGAGACTCGATCTGTTTACTTATTTCATATGGTGTTGATGACGTAACCGCCAGAAAAGGTGACTACAACTATACTATCCTCGTGACATAATTTTATTTTTTATTTGGTTTGGTAAGACTGTGTAACAATCATTTTTGTAACCTGAAATGTACAAAAGATGACTTTGACATCCATGCGGACATCAAGTGGGATGTAAATGGAAACATCAGCTTTGAATATTCCACAAAATCACAGTATAAAATATGTTAAACCATAACTACTACCCTTACCTCAGTCAGAACGAACCCTAGGAAGGATCAAGCAACGGAAATTCTTTTGAAATTATGTCTGAAGACGAATGCACATGCGTAGGATGCAAGAAGAAGTTGGAAACGATAGTAAGAAACGACAACGCAGACAAAGTTATATGCTTTTGTGGCCAAAAAGATAAGCTGGGTGGTGTGCCCATAGTGATCACTATCAATAAAATGAACAAAAAGGGAGATGGTGGTCCTAAGCTCGAGACTGCGGACGCGGTTACTCAAGTAACTCCGAAGGTATCTGAACACAAGAAGAAGGGAAAGAAGAAGAAAAGGTGTACCATTTTATAAGGGTGTCGTCTGTGTGAAGGTATCATGTGTTAGTTTATGTTAGTTTGAAAATGAATTATATGAAGCCATGCTTCTTGAAATGAGAATTTCATTTTTCAAGTAGATTCTCATAGTTCTCCAGTACTCATATGTACTTCTATGTAATCATACGTCATGGTTCCATTATAACTCATACATTTTTGAGATATAAACGAGAAATTTGGACATATGAAGAAACATACAGGCTTATTGGCATTTCTATATATAATATCTAACCAGTAAAATCGCAAATGTATGCCTGGGAGAAGAAGGGAAAGAAGAAGAAAAGGTGTACCATTTTATAAGGGTGTCGTCTGTGTGAAGGTATCATGTGTTAGTTTATGTTAGTTTGAAAATGAATTATATGAAGCCATGCTTCTTGAAATGAGAATTTCATTTTTCAAGTAGATTCTCATAGTTCTCCAGTACTCATATGTACTTCTATGTAATCATACGTCATGGTTCCATTATAACTCATACATTTTTGAGATATAAACGAGAAATTTGGACATATGAAGAAACATACAGGCTTATTGGCATTTCTATATATAATATCTAACCAGTAAAATCGCAAATGTATGCCTGGGGGATTATCGACAGACATGTAAACCACAAGATAAGTTGTAGCTTATTTTGTTAAAAAAGATTCTGCAGTTCTCTTATAATTCATTTGTGTTTTTGGATACAAAGAAGGAATTTGGAAATACGAAAGAGAATGAAGGTATATGCAGAGGACCTTTAACTTTGGCAAAAAATAAGGTATTTAGACTTAGGTATCTGCATATAAAGAGTATTATGAGTATTTTAAAAGTTATCTAAGTAATGCTGGACTACCCTGTATAATAATTTACTAATGAGCTAAGTAGGAAATCGCTTTCAAATTTCCAACCCATTTAAACTGACATGCCGACTTGCATTGTCGTTATACTTAAGCCAATCATGTTCAATTTGAATACAGGGATAGTTCGCCGCATAGCACGGCATAGCAGTTCAAATTCAATTGTCTTCTAGTGAATAAAAATAGTTGATACGTCGCCATCGCAGTTCCACCACGACATCGACATACTCTTATTAATATTAATGCAATAAATGGTCTGCAGTTCCAACCACAGACCTTCTAGAGTCAAGACTAGAGTATTATGTAGCTCCTACTTGGGGTTACCAGATGGCCGGGTTTGTCCTGGCATTTCATATACTCAAAATAATTATGCTCTGCTGCCTTCCGTCCCATCAAAGACAGCCAACCATGGACAGTTGTTTCGTGCTTTTTGGCTATACTCCTCAGGCTTGGGTCTCTCGGTCAACGAACGTAAAAATAGCAACTGTACACTATACGAAATGTATAATCTATCAAAATACCAGAATCGACCACTGCGAAACAGCGAATCGCAGCCAACCGGTTGGGACTTTATGGATCTCACTCCGCGAAAATTGGAGGCCCAGTCATCACGTGACCGCTAGATGGCGACGAGTCTAGATGTGTAGTAGATGTAATATGAAGGCCTTGGTGTCAGTCTTGCATGCCTATGTACTGTATCGCGGTCAACCACTCATGCTTACAGCGGTATACTTGTCGACCACTGTCTTTAGGTGTCAGCATTGTCACTTTTCGGACTGTTGCCGCATGTTATGGGATTCCCTTTTCTGCCGCTTGAAACGCTGATTACAAAATCTTAGGAATAATTACAATGGGGGTTGAGGGGTGATCTGACTATGGAAAGTTCGACCTGACAACATGACGATAGAAATTGTAAATGTACATCCAAAGGGTTGGGCATCTTCTGGAAGAGTTACTGTCTGTTTTCGGCAACGAAGCGCCACATCAGTCGACAATTTCTCGTTGGTATGGAGAATTCAAACGTGGACGGGTGAGTCTTAGCGACGATCCCAGGGTGGGTGCACCAAAAACGGCAGGAAAACGTCGATGCTGTGCGCAAACTCATCATTGAAGATAGACATGTGACATACCGCGAGATTCAGGCGTCCTTGAAGATCTCAAAGACCTCGATTCAAAAAAATTTACATGAAGAATTAGGAGTAAGAAAATTAGTTTCTCGTTGAATACCCCACCTGTTGACTGAAGAGCAAAAAGCAGCCAGGTTTAATTGGTGTCAAAAAACGCTTGACCGTTTCAATTCCGGAAACACAAAAAATGTGTACAGCATTGTTAGTGGTGATGAATCGTGGATTTACTGTTATGAACCAGAAAATAAACGACAACCGGCTGTTTGGGTGTTCCAAGGTGAAGAAAAGCCAACAAAAGTCATCCGATCTCGAAGTGTTTCGAAAAAGATGGTCGCGACATTTGTGTCAAAAGCGGGTCATATTGCAACAATTCCTCTTAATGAGCAAAGAACTGTTACTGCGGATTGGTATACCAACATTTGTTTGCCAAAAATCATCACCGAGCTTCGAAAAATCAACCTCGAAAGAAGAATCATCCTCCACCAAGACAATGCAAGCTCGTACACAGCCCAAAAAACAAGGCAGTATTTAACGGAAGAAAACGTGGAATTATTGGACCATTCTCCATATATAGTCCCGATCTAAGTCCTAACGATTTCTTTACTTTCCCGAAAATTAAAAACAGTCTGCGTGGTCAAAGGTTCCAGTCACCAGAAGAAGCAGTTGCTGCATTCAAAAATGCCGTTTTGGATCTGCCAGCAAACGAGTGGAATAAGTGCTTCGAAAATTGGTTCGAGCGCATGCAGATGTGTATTAATGTTCGTGGAGAATATTTCGAAAAACAATAAAGTCATTTAAAACTACCTATCATGCTGTTTTAAAACTTAAAAGACATCCCTCGTACGTGAATGTATGTCCAGTCTGTCAGCATCACGCCTGAACCACGATTCAGAGAGACGCAAAAAATTGTGCTTGAATTAAAACCAGAGGAAGTTAATAGCCATGGTTTTATCTGCGAACAATTTACAGAGTGTTCAAAAAGTATGGCTAAATCAAATTATCTCGAAACAGTTATTTTCCTAACAAGTGCGGAAAGTGACACACGCGGAACAAACTTCGGCCAGCAGTCGAGTGCGGAAATGACTTCTTGCAAGAGTTAGGAACAACATTTTTACTACCAGCACGTAACAAGAAAAACAATACATTGTAACAACGGACATTATATACCTTAAAAAGAAAAAACGTCAAATATCTGTTAATTTTAATAAAAAAAAGCAGTTGCTGGAATTTTGAAGATTTATGACGGACGAATAGGGTGGTAGTGCATTCAATGTTGCTAGCCTCCGCATTATCAGCATCCCTTTTCTGTTGTAGCTCTGTTTGAACCCAAGATATGTCAGATTGGAGAGTATATACTGATGCATTAGATATTGTCGTGTCATTTTCATTCATTTTGTTTGTAATTTTCCAAACTGAAATGCGTGCGGAAAAGTGGCACTGTCAGCAACCTAGAAAAATACGTTTACTAATGAAAAATGTTGTAGATCAAAGCTGTAATGTTCAAAAAGATTCATCAATTGATGATACTGCACGCGACCCTGACCAGGAAAGTCAAGGTTATTTGAAGGTCGAAACTGTTCGCTTAAATTAAGCCCCTGTAGAGAGCGGGCTGTGACATTCCAGCTCATTTAAAAGTCAAGACAGTTTTCTTAAATATATTTACACCGGAAATATTAAGAGCACCAAATTGTATGTTCAAGTATGACTATGTATGTATGACTATGACTATAATGGTAATTTCAAGACCAAATGAATGTTTATCGGGAAACATACTATCTTAATACCTGAAATGCACATTGCGGAAAATCATAAGTTCAAGTAGAATATGAAAAACAGAGAGCGAAATTTATTTATTGTTGGATTAAATCGTTGAATAAAAAATGTTCGTTGCCAAAGTAACTATTGCATTCCTTTGAATATTACATTTCTTTTTCCGAAAACAATCACCTTCGCGCTAGCGGACCGCGGGTTTAGTCTAGTCTAATATAACTTTGAGTATTTTTCTGAAATGCCATTTTCTGTCGCCAATGTGTTCAGCACTGGTGGTTTAAATTATTAACAAACAGGTTGACTACCAAGTTTAACTTGAGCTTAACCAAGAGTGACTATGATCGCTTTACGCTTGACCAAACACTCCTAAATTTGACCACGTTTTATTCATTCACAGTGATTGAAAAAACACACACGTTAAAGTTGCACAATAATTCCCGCTTAATTCAGTTGTATGCCAGAATTAACCTGAAAACTTTAAAATGCAGCATCTATCTCAGTGCTTGCCAGCTACGAGTACTAGCCTATAGTATATAAATGAATGCCGTGAGAATGCTTGCACGACAAATTTCGAGAACCATTTTTGAAATAGTAACACATTCCAACAAATTCCGAGAACCATTTTTAAAATAGTAACCGATTGTGCATTGTGCCCGCGCATCCTGTCACGGGATGTCCGTTCCACCTCAGACATTCTTGGCCAGTCTCTCACTACGCCGTCATTACGTTTCTCCTGCTAAAATTTATTAGCAGATTGCCGAATTCGGTGCGTTCCAAAACCGCGGCATCGTTCTGATTCACGACAATGCTCGGCCGCACGGTGCGGCAAGAACACACATACGTAACTGAACAAATTTCTGGAGTCACTGGATCCAAAAGCTGGTGTCACGTCTTGACAAATGTCTAAATGTTTAGAAGGGCTATGTTGTAAAACAAGAAAAAGTTCATATTTTAGCTTGTGACACAAATTACGTTCATCAATAAAGTTTTCCTGATTCCATTACAAAACGGTTCTTACGTTCGAAAAGTATTTCTGCTTTGTACATGGTTAACCATTCTAGGCAGTGTGTATGTAACTCTCTGAGTAACACATACAGTTTTAAACATCAGCATGAATACCGTGTGGCTTGCAACGTGGAAAAGTTGGATGCTTCGTGAATATAAGAATACTTTCTGAATATTTTATTAGACAATGGAGAGACAGTGCGACGGTATTGTATACCTATTCTAAACTACCGTATAGATGC